GCACTCATCAGCTCCAAGGAAAAGAGTGGCATTAGCCCACCTGCAAGGCAAAGACCAACAGCAGAAGGCACAGCCCGTGGAGGTGGATGGGGTGGCTACTCAGGGACTGGTGGTGGTGCTGACTGCAGAGCCACCACCACTGCTCCCTCAGCAGCCAGCCCAGCAGTCCTGCACGCCCACCACAGCAGCCCTCCATGGCCATGGCCAACACAACACTCCTCTCTCCACAGTCACAACCACAGCTGGCTGCTGACAGCTCCTCTCCACCAAGGATGTACAGACCCAGCTGGCTGTTGTGCCCCTGGCCACCCCTGGGGACAATGACAGCCTTCCCGGGGACGTGGTGGAGGCAACGCTTGGTACTGGCTCCTGGGGGAAATCAGTGCATGTACAGAACTGGCTTCTTCCAGATAAAGCAAAGACTCACCCCTCAAAGCTCATTTACATTGTCCAGAAAGGCCAACCAAGGTTTTGGCCAGGCATGGGTGGCAGGAAGGGCAGAAGTACAGTCCATTTGGAAGGAACAGGGCAGGCAACCATCAACACCAGGGTTTCTCCAGTAACAACTCAGGGTTCAGGAGAACCCACCTATTATCTATTTCACATTCATATTTTTTTTTTTTCTTTTTAATACCTGAAAGATGTCACTAACAGAACCACCCCATTCCTGACCTGCCACTGACCCCCTCCCATACCCGTTTTCCACCATATGCCCTTCTTTGTAGAGACAGGGTACTTGACTTCCAGAATTCTTTCAAATCCAAATTCCTTTATGGACTTTTAAAACTAATTTGCCTTTAAGTCCTTAGAACTGGGCTCAGCTCTACCTTAACGAACACACACTAGTGCTAAGATTTTAGTTAATTCTTTTTTATCCCATGGATAAAGTGAGCATTAGGCTTGAAATTACATGCAGGCAGCTTGTCAAAGCCTCCTATGGAACGCGACTGGCACTTGCAGAATGCAATTTCTTACTCCCACTGAGTGCTAAGAATCCTTCAGAGTTCTTCACTTCCCCAGGAAATCTATCAATTACATCAGCAGCTGGACCTATGCAAATGTGGCATCAACCCTGCCAAAGCTGGGGAGGGGAAGGGGCAGAAAGGAACCCTGTGCTTCCCAGACCCAGCTGAGGCTGGGAAAACCTGCCTGTGTTTGAGGGTCTGTTGATGGCCCCGTGCGGGCTGGAGGCAGGGCAGCTGCTGTGGCTGGGAAGGAGAGGAGCAGCAGCAAAGACCATTGCCCCCAGCCAGCAGCCCCTGGCCTGCAGACACCCTGGAGCCCAGCCTTGTGTCTGCCTCACCCAGCAGGCCACACGCTCTCTGGGGAAGCAGCCACAGAAACCACCCTCTGGCTCTGCCACGAAACGAGAGCTCCTGGCGCACGCGTCTGTCAGCACCCCAAAGGAAACCTGCTGTTGGGAAATAACCTTCCTCCTGATGTAACACGGGGCTGGTTTTTGTGCCCTTAGGCACCAGAACTAGTTCCCGAGGTTGCCCCCCCTTTCTCCAGCACAAGGGACAGCAGCACGAGGCTGCAGAGGAGTCCCTGCTGCAAGACGGCTCCGTGTACAGCTGAGGACTGTCGGAGATGCCTGTGGGACAGCCAGCTGGTATCAACCACTGCTCCCCACAACCTGCTGCCTCTTTGTGAGGCCCCTGCAGGCATCGGGGTCTGCAGGGCCCCCTCCTCACCAGAGCAGTGTTTGAGGTTCACTGGCAACCTGCAGTTGGCCAGATGAACCGCGGGGCCTTGCTCTGCTCCGCAGCCGCCCCGGTACAACGTGTTCCTATATTCTAATACAAATGTCCACAAATATTTGCACATGGCTTTCCACAAGCATTCTGAGGGAAAATGCAATTACTTGCAAGTTTTCAGAAAGCAAACACAGAAGTACTGGGAGCTGGCTTAACAGATCCATTAAAAAAATTAAACACCTAATGTATTTTGTTCCTTCCATGGCAACCTCCTGTTCCTTTTATCTCTGCGCTCCCCCCTCCACTCTGGGCTGGGCAGCAGCTCCCAAGGGCTGCTCTTGGGGGCTGCAGGAGGTGCCCAGGCCCCAGGGATCATCCCATGGCTGGGGCTCAGTGTTCAGATTGCATTGTGACCTGTGAAGGAGAAGCCAGGAGCCACAGTCACACAGTTTTACAGAAGTAACTGTGACGTGATGAACTGCTGACTTGACTTCTGTTTTTCTCAGGTACTGTGACTTAGGGTAGGCAAATCCCCCAGGAGACCTTTCAGCAAAGTAAAGCAAAAACCCCAGAGAGCTACCAAAAAATCCAGAGAAGAAGACATAATCACGAGTTGTTTCAGCTTCCTGACCAACCCAATCACAGGTTAACACCACAGCCCTTATAGTACATGTGGGGTTTCCCCCACTGGTTACACGTCTCCCCGCACAAAGGGATGCAGGAGGGACACCCTTTTCAGCAGCCAGAAGAGCTGTGATTTGCTCTTACACTGGAACACATAAGCACGAACTCCCCAAGGTACTGTTTGTTTTCCCCCCCCACAGTTTGTTTGGGGTGTGTTTTTCCCCTTCCCCCAAGTGCACTTTGGTTACCCAGCTAAATTACTGCATTTTAGGCAAATAAATGGTCCTTTTTTCTAATGCTGGACACAACCTGTGAAAATTTTCTGCATTTAGATTCAACAATGCTGCTCTTATCTACAGCTCATCTCGAGAGAGACAATTACCATTTCCTTTGCCTTGATCTTGTTTGTTTAACTTGACACAGTGGAGAAAAGGGCTGACATTGACCAAAATCCCCAGCATTAATTTATCTCATGTTCAGCATTCATCATTGCCAGCAGGCAGGGAAGACCTGGCAGTCACTCAAAACAACCCCCCCAAGAAAGAGCCTGCAGAAACAAAGCTGGCAAACTGCAGATGCCAGAGGAGCTGGGCAAACAACCTTTTCAGCAGCACCCTCGATTTTCTTGTAAAGCCCTGCAAAAAGCAGATGTGTGGGTTGCCAGCAGGGTGTCCTTCATGCAGACTGAGCTGTGGTTAGCCAATCCAGGAGTGAAAAGGGCTGCACTGGGTGTGCTTTGGCCACCAGCTCAGTCTTGAAATTACTCAGAATGGTTTAGAAATTACTAATCACTTGACAGACCCAGACAGATACCAGTGTGCATAATAACCATGCCATGTACCTTCCAGTGGACACTGTACCATTCTGAACTTAAACAACATTTCTGTATTGAAAAGCTAAATTCAGGTCTGCATTGTGGTATATTTTGTAAACTGAGTCTGCTCTTTGGGTCTCACTGTTCCTGCACGTATTTCTGCACACTCACCTAGACTGCAGCCCAGCCCTTCAGCCAAGAGGGACAGGAAACAAAGACCTTTGCTGTTGAAGTTACAGCCTCCCTTGCAACGCTGCAACACCCACCTGCAAAAACTCATCGAGCTCAACCTGCCCATTTTTGTTCAGATCCACTTCACTGAGAATATCATGAAGTGTGTTCTCAGCAATCTGCATGCTGATGCTCTAGACAAAGGAGAAAAGCACAGAGGTTTGTCAGCTGGGGTGCTCAGCACTGTTTATGTCACACTCTGAAATTCAGATAAGAGGCTGGAGAAGGCAAGCAGAAGAGCAGAAGGAAACGTTACCTCCAAGACGTGCTGCACATCCAGGATGGTAATGAACCCTTTCTTGTCCTTGTCAAACATGCGGAATCTCTTCTTGTACCTGCAAGATAAGGATTGTCCGTGGGAAAAACTGCACTCTGAAGAATGACAGGTGTGAATTCCTAGTAGGGCAGGGAACTCTACTTACCTCTCAATATCTGAGGGCCCTAGGCTGATTTCAGAGTGGTCTATTAATTGATCTGATTTTACTTTGTAGCCCATTTCAAAATAGAGAAATTTTTTAGCAGTTTCAAGTTCTTCCTACAACAAAAAAAGAGAAACTGTACATCTGAGGAACAGCAAGTTCATCATTTTTAATGCAGTATTTATTAGCTTCTTCTACATAACTAGAATTTATCTGATGTAAAAAAAATTAGCAGATGGTAGCTGACAAGTATTTGTAAGTTAAGCTTAGGCACTTTTTAGTCTTGAAAAGAGGTAACAAGTCTAGTAAAGCCTTTTAAGTACTGTGTGAACACTTTCAGGACCACACCATGCCTTCAGTGCATCTACCTATTTCATGAAGAACAGGACTTACAGGTCAGGCTGACAAGTGCCTTTTAACTCACAACTGGTATCTTAGAGCAAAGTTTTATCTAGCTGTCTAAAATCAGAAAAAAACAACACCCAGCAAATCAGAAGGCTCAACAACAAGCAGGTCCTTCATGTTTTGAACTAGTTTTCTAGACGGTTTGGGATAGGGGATAAACACCTCCCATCCATGAAGCAGGGCTGAACAGAGGTCTTCCTACAGCTCGGGCTGCACCAAGCATGGCTCTAAGAGTGGTCCAAGCAGCTGCCACCAGGGCACCAGGCCTAGAAGTCCACACTGCAGCTGCACAAGAGCAAGCAGGCCAGGCAACTGCTGCAGCAGCAGCAAGAGATTCCAAGGCACGTGCACATAAGCCACTTCATCCAGCAAAGACTTGTTTGTGCAGGTGTGTTTGGAGCCTGAGTGCAGCACACCAGACTGCTCTCACATACTTCAGTATAAGCACACAAATTAGCCTTAAAGCCCCAAATCAACAAAGACTTATTTAATGGTCTTACTAGAAGATCTAAACTGAAGAATGCTCTTCTGGACAGGCACTGAATTGCCTTGTCTGTCAAGCTGAAATACAGCATGAGCAGGATTGCTGTACAATGCAGTACCTCAAAAGGGCCCAGGATACAGAGGAGATGCTCAATATCTTGGGGGGGGTTTAGCCTCATTTGGAAGGAAGGGAGTTTTCCAAAAGAAATCCCACTGGACATTTCAGAGAATGCCAGCTCACAGAGAGCTCTGTGAGCCCTGCAGGTACTGCAGTACTTGTCCACTCTCCTTCCTGCAGGCTGTGGGGAGACTGGTGCCTAACTCCCCAGCTAGAGCCTGCTGGAACCAAGGCTGTCTATGCAACCCTAACATCATGCTGGCTGCAAGATCTTGGCTGCAAGCCTCCCATTTTCTAACCTATTGTTATGGAGAATTTGATCCAGCTTTGTTTAACAAAGCTAATTATTACAAGATCACATCTCATGGGGTAGGGGTGAGACCCCTCCAGCTCCAGCCACACACCTCTCTCTGCCTTTGAGGCTGCTCAGCATACAAGCACACAAGTAACACAACTCACAACTGGGACATGCTGGCATCCCTTTCTTTATGCATCCCAGTGGGGAGGCACTGGGCTCCCAGCAGCTCTAGTGCAACGTCCAGAGACTGGCTGTTCTCAACACCTCCCGTAAAGAGAGGTGAGTCCCATGCTCTATGTCTGACCACAGATCCACGGGGGGCAAAGGAAGAGAACAGTGACCTTAAACATTAATTCAGGCCAGAGAACCCTGCAAACTCAGTATCATCACTTTCGAAAGACACAGCAGACAAACAGGAGTGAGACAGACTACAAGATCCTCCATTTCTGCAGCCGAGCTCTTGAAAAACAAACTATCTGAACAGGAGTTGGATAGCAATGCCAGGCCTTTCATTTTTCAAGGTAAGGAACAACAGCATGCAGATCTTCACTTTCCCCTCCATTCCCTGGCCAAGAGCAACTCATCTCACTGCTATTTTGATAAAGTCTTTATCAGGAAGTGTGCCCAGTGAATCACTCTTTCAGGAAGAGAAGCGTCTCGGGAAGTTTTCTACTCAGCTAATTCGGACCACTAACATGGGGAACTCCCTAAGGAAAACGAGCCCATTTCAGAGAAAAAAGGCCCTCTGTACCTTCTTTTTCTGCTCGCTCCAGCCAAGTTGCTTCCCCATGATGTCCACGACCCGTGGCAGGGCCTCCTCTGCAGCCTGCACGTTGAGGAAGGCCAGGCGCGTGCGGCGGGAGATCACGTCCACGGCGGTGCGGGCGTATTCCTTCACGGCATAGACCACCTGGGCACGGAGGGGAGGGGGACAGGAGAGGGGGAAGCAGCAGGCATGGGCACGAGGGGGGCTCAGCATCACGAACCCCACTGCTGGGCTGGCCACGCAGAAGGAGCTTCCTCGTAGCTAGCTCCTGCCCCATCCAAGAAGGGGTTTGAGACTCTCCCTTTTCCCTGGAGCGTGTTACGTCAAGTGCATCTGGGATCAAAGGCATCTGCTTTTTATTCATAAAACCACACTGCATAATTATAATTATTTAATGATATATAAATATGTTAATATGTGTGTATATAAACATAAAAATAAAGTGTGCTCCAGGGAAGGTGAAAAAACAAGAACAGAGGCGGGGGGGGAAATATCTGGACTTGACCAAAGGAAAAGGTTATGGAGACGTGTTACAGGGCAAGGGAGACCTGCTCTGGAACCTGCTTATCCCAAGAACATGACACAGTTTCTCCACATACCTCAGCCTCAATATAGGGAAATTCAGACACGAGACGTTTTCCAGCAACAGGCCATCTCCTCCCTGTCACTTGGGCTATTTTGGCCACCTCAAAAGCCTTGTCCCCATACGTTGAAGCTAGATGCTGAGCCACCTGTCGGGGTGGAAACAAAGTCAGTGTGCTTTTGAGAGCACAGCAGATGTACCCAAATCTTTCTTGTCCATTTTCTCATCACCAGTAACAAATAGGCTGGAGAGGGTGTTTGATTGTGGGGGAGCAAACTCCTTGGGCTGTGGACAGGTCAGATCAGCACTGACACCACGAGGGGTATGTCCTGGTAGCTGTGCCTGACCCCTCCAGCTCTCCTGCTGCACTGGGATCCCATCTGAAGGACAGATTTTCTGAGGCTCAAAGGAAGATAGAGACTAGCATACTGTAACATTTTAAAGCAGGAAACAGTCAAGATGATGAGGAAGGGGAAAAAGGAAGAGCAGAAGAACAATTATTTTTTTAAAACTATCCCTGCCCCAGCCAGATAATAAGCTCTTACCAGGCTCAACAAACCTTCATACAAGTTACACTGGTATTAGACTCAGTGGAAAAACAAACCCCTCTAGCACAGAAACATCAGAGCAGCAGCAGAAACCAGGACTCACCTCACTTTCAAGTCCATAGTCTTGGACCAACCTAATGTAGAGAGTGGGACTCCAGTGCTCAGCCCCTTCCAGCGGCAGCCCGATGGTCTTACTGGAACCTGCCTTCAGACCATGTGCCTGGATAGCTGCATCAACAGCATCCTGAGCCATGGCACGGTAGGTTGTCCACTTCCCACCTGTAACCACACATGCACTTTAGGTGGGGAAAGCAAGGGCAACACGCAGGTGGTACATCCCACTGGTGTTTGATACATCTCATTACTCTTGCTAGACTTGCTCCAACAAGCCAGTCATGCTACAACTGTCAAATCATTATCTGGTTGTAGGAACGTGAAGGATCAGTCCTGTAACAGGAAGTGTTTTGAATAAAATACACGAGGGAAGCACAGCAAAGCTGGGCTTGAAGAGACCTCCCATTACCTGCTATGGTCACCAGGCCACTGTCGCTGATGTTAACGACGTGGTTCCGGGATATCGACTGCGTGTCCTTGGAGTTGGGGTCTGTGACCAGAGGACGGATCCCACTCCATGCTGCCAACACGTCTCCTCTTCTCACTGCCCAGAACCAAAGATCAGCCCAAGCCAGCCAGGAACTGCTGGGGATTTATCTCCTACTGCCCTCGAGCAGAGCCTGGCTGTGAAACAAGGACGGCACCGCACTGCGCTCCTCAGCTGAGCAGCTTGGAGAAGATTCTCCCCAGCACTGGAATCAGCTGTGCTGCAGAGCTGCCAACAGCACTGCCCTGATGGCACTAATATCCTCTAGCCCCAAACTCAGAGAGGCTCGTTTCTCACACCAGCTACAAATCCAACAGAACAGGAATATCCCGGGAACTGATCAATCAAGAAACATTCAACAGTCAAACTCACTGAACAGCTCAAAAAAGCCCCAAGCCCAGAAAACAAACCCTGTCAAAACACACCCCTCCAAGCATTAAGTTTTCTCCTTGTTGGCTTGTGCTGACAGGACAGTCCTTACGTGACATTTTAGAAACACAAATTAAGTTTGCTCCACATGAGCATAAGATTTGATGTTAGAACTTCCAAGCTTTTTTATCCAGCTTGTAGGTTATCTCCCCAAGTTTTCCTCTCAACAAGTGATCTTCACCCACAGCCTCTCCCAGAAGTGCAGTCACACACGTGCACAAGGAGCACATTTACTGCAGCACATCCCCAGAGCCTGCACCTTGCAGGAAAACACCCAACCCTCCAACACCCACTTTTTAAATATATAAAGCATGGGACCAATCGCAAACTTAATGAAATTAATTTTGTTGCTTATTAAATTTGCAATAGAAAAATTGACCCACTTGCTTTGTGCTGAAGTCTTTGCAACGTTTGCTTTTTTTTTTTTTTACATAACTTTCAAATAAATGATAATTGAAAATCAGTAACGGGGTGTAAAAATATCCCCAAAGAACACAAAATAGATTTCAGAAATCAATGGTGCTCTGCCAGCATGTTTAAACTGCCAAAATGAAGTGTTAATCACAGAAATAAGATACCATATTACGTTTATAAACTAATGAAACTAGAAAAAGCAGCATGCGTGACACTATAATTAAACAGTTGGAACACATCCAAGCCTGTGTAAGTTGATAACCCTGGCACTGTCTCTGGCAGCAAAAAGGCAGGTCTGCAGTGAGTTGATATGGCCAGCACAGTTGTTAATTCAATAACAAGCAATCTATAAACACTGCTAATTGCATATGTGAAGAAACAGTGTGCACCCAGGTAGGTTTCATTCAAAAGAACTCAACGCTTCATAAGGAGCTTTTCTGAAACACCTTGCAGAGCCTCTGGCTTATTCACTGTCTTAACTCCACCAGCTGAACCTGTCTGGCTCACCACACTTACTGGTACCAACTTCTGCTCAAGAAACAAAAAGGTCCTTTTCTCAAGGAGTTCTTCTGAACTTTACACAACCCAGAGACATCAAGTGTCCACGTCAAGAAAGCAGGAAGTGAGCATTTCCAAGCTCCAGACAGCAAACTTCCCTGAATCTAAGGAGGCTGCAGTGTTCCTGGCAGAATGCTCCTCCAGACTTATTTTAATGCTGCTACAACAGGGGTACAGAGGTACAAATGCTTCCAGAGAATAATTAAAAAACCCTCACCATGAAGGAAAGGAGCCTCTCTCCTTTAAACCAGCTCCGAGTCAGGGCAGGTCAGTATCTTACTACTAGTTCTCAGCTACTGAAGGGAACAACTGTCACCAAGTCTTTTCTATAAATTCCCCTGCATGCCTATTATACTTCCCTCTCCCACTGACAACTGACACTATCACATATTTTCCATCTCAAGAAGAGTGAATTCTAATAATGAAGTGCCTAGAAAAATGGAAGTAAAAGCGACATAGGAGAAGTCAGAACAACCTTTCCTTCAAGAAAAGCAGGTGAAGGATTTGATGCACTTGGGCTGATGCACGAGGGAGCTGTCCCAGCTCTGCAAAACCCTGCACCTGCCACCCAAAGAGCCCGTGTGGCTGCCCAGCTGGACAGCTGGTGCCAGGGAGATAGCAACCAGACATCAGCCAAGTCCCACCTAAACAGCCCAAGCAGTGCAGGGATATCTCTGATTCATTCTGTGATAACCCTGCACTACTTGGACTGCTTAGGTGGGACTTGGTTGGTATCTGCATGTTCAGACTTCACATGCAGATACCTGGAAAAGCATCATTTTATAGCTCTGAAACACAGCTCAAGGTGAGACTCCAGTCCCACTGATTTTGTAAGCACCCAGAAGCACAAGAACCACAGTTACCAGAGTCACAGAACCCCTTCAGACAGCCAGTGTTTACCCAGACTGAAAGGCCAGCCTCCCCAGCAGCCTCCCTGGGAAGAGCAGGGCTGGCACAGGCTTTACCTTCAACATCAGCGCTCAGGTAGTTGCGCACTTCGTTCAGAATGAAGTTTATGTCTTCCTCTGTGGGTATGGGGTGGGAGGTGACATCAGTGGGGCTGTCTGTGGTTCCTGCAATCGTCATCTTCTGCCATGGCAGGAAGAAAATCACTCTGCCATCGCTGGTGGCGGGGTCAAGCAGCCCCATATTCCCAGGGCTGAAATGGAGAAGGGTAGAACAGGTCAGGCATCACCAGGGGTTCTGGTCTTGCACACCTTCTCGTGCCCTAGGTCAAGGAACAGAGTATCACCTTTCTTCTTAGGTCAAATGACTATGAAAAAACCCCAAGATACCTGAGATCTCACAAGTGGCCACGACCTGCCTTTGCAAGGTAGTCCCAGAAGTTCTGAGAAAGAAGGTCCTTGAACATGATGCCCAGATGCTACTAGGATTGCATTTCCCAAGTGAATTTAGTAGAGCACAGCCTTAAAGGGAGGAAATCAGGCCTGTGGCACCTCACAGCCCCATTCACTCCTGAAAACCTTGCTCATTGGAATTTCAAATGCAAACATTTGGAAATTTCAAAGCAGCAATTACTAGAAACTCATTATGGAATGAACAACTGCTTTTAATCAGGAACTGGACAATAATTTATATGCTACCATAAAGGGAAGGGTGAAACAGAGTGCACATGAAAATGGAGAAATAAGAACAGAACTCTCTCTGTTTTGATGCATCTACATATACAACAAGAAAAAAAAATAAAATAATTTTTAACCCAAGTGATCAATTACCTGTGCCCTACACAGAGGAAAAAAGTAAAGACACAGAAACTCTCACTGAGTTTTCCAGTCTGCACTCACAGGACGGCACAGGGGTTAGTAGCAGAAAGAAAAAACATAAAACCCAAGAGAACAGCAATGCTGAAAACATAAGCATGAGCACATTAGAACTTTAAGTTATATATAAAATGTTTCCTCCCATAATATAAACAAATTAAAAATCCACATGTACAAACCCAGTTATCCTTATTACTTATTCAGTAGCTCTGCTGCCATTTCAGAAAACAGAAGGTTTCCTAAACACTTCAGAGCAAACAGCTTTCTTCCAGGAAAACGTCTGAGCTGCCCCTTTTTTGTCCATGTTTCTTTAAAAGAAAGATGCTGACTGGCATCCCAGGTGCTGCAGGTCCTTCAGTTTAGCAGCCCTCAGGTTCTCCACCTATTCCTGCTAACAGGAGGAGGATATGGGAAGTACATGGGAGGAGGACAGAAGGGATGTATTTAGGTGCTAATAAGGAGCATCAGAGGGGAATAATTCAGTGGACTCAAATAATTACCCACACAGTAAGTTGAAGGTAGACAAAGACCTGCCTGGATATGAATTACCTATTTAAGAGAGCCACAAGCTGAATCACTGAGTATTTCATTTTTAGGAAGTCTAAACTTATTACTGAGGGTAAGTTTTCAATATCTGTGAAAGGCTAGAAGAGAAGCTGAAAATTTCATATAGAGCATGTATATTAGAACATTTTTTTAGATGATATTTATAGACAGCTTAAGCATACAGTTGGAGAAGTACAATTTAATAGGGGAAGTCAACACAGATTTGTGAAAGGTAAATCACTTCAGACAAATGATTACTTTTTAAAATGAAAAAGCTATTGATTTAGAGCCAAAGGAAACTAGAGATTTAATATACAATATCAGAATATTCACCAAACTTTGGAAAAAAATCATACTTTTGAGAAAATGTCTAATGTGATTTTGTAAAACCTGTTAAAAATCAGGAAGAGAAACCAATAAGGACTTAAAATGAAGTTTCACCACACCACCCATGGACTGAAGTGTTTTCAGTTAGATTGCACAGCAAATGATGACAAAGGATGAAACAGTTGTCCACATCCCGATTAATTGACTAAATTAATGATGACCAGTTATCCTGAGAAGCTCACTCTCCATCTCCTATTGCTATGTTTGTTCCACCTGAGATAAATAAATGAAGATGCATCAAAAAAAATTTAAAATAGGGTGTTTTCTATTAAAAAAACCAAACCAAACAACCAAACATTCTAGCAGCCAAATATTGGAAGTTCTGGGACTCCAGAGACATTTGACCAAAGCACCACAAATGCAGTAAGAGAGCAGAGTAGAACTAAGGTTTGACAGACCAAGTTCACCTGGAGTATGGAGCAGACAGGAAAACTCAAGACAGAAAACATCTGAAATTTGTCAGAAGGAAGGGGAAAAACCCTCTCTCATTTTAGCAAATAATGGACTGAAACAATAGGGAGTGGAAGAGACTGCAGCTGCTCCAATAGACGTGTATACTAAAAATAGAATTAATGAGAGGAGGAACACTGGGACTATTAATGAAGAACATAAATGAGTAAGAAACCCATGGGAAATGAATGCATTAGGTTAACATTAGTTTTACAAAATCTCGACTATGTTTACATCTGAAAACCTCTACCTGTTATGAAACTTTGATTTGTGTGAGCCTGGCCCAAAATTCTCCAACACGTTTCCCACCAGGCAAAGGGAATGACAATCCCTGCTTGTTGAGCATTATTCCCTGGCACCAGGAGAAGGACTTGATTGAGCTAAAACTAAATACTAAATACCATGAGTACCATGAGTACCCTCTTGGCAGCAGTTCCCAGGTGTGAGCTGTGCAACTTGAAGGAAATGCATCATCTTCCTATCCCATCAGTGGTGCAGGGGAGGCAGCACGTGGGGAAGGAACTGTTTTACACGAAATGACATGCCCACCTGCTGGGCATACACAGGGGAACCAGGAGAACAAGACTTATCTACACTTCCAATTGAGATTATTAGGCAGTTACACAATAAACAAATTTGAGCTCTCCTGCGTACCAAGTTTTAAAACTTGATGTGTTTTTGCTGTAGGACCATGAAGTCAATCCCATGTGCACCTCATGGCATAAGAAGACACTAGAATTTCTCCATGTCTTCACATGGCTGGTGCTTTACAGCAGCTTTCAGGTCATTTTCTCATTTTTCATGAGGAAAGACACCAGGAAAAGAACAGAATGCAAGAGTGATTTTACACCAGCCCCAAAATGCCTCCATTTTACAGTCTGTGGTCATGTCCTGTTGGGATAGCTCCAGCTAAAGCAACGTGCTGTGCCCTGGAAGTCTACATTTATATTCACAGAGGAGCACAATGGTGCTATGGAAGGCGTTAGTATAAAGGCACAATCAACAGAACTGGGATAAGGCTATAAATGTGAATTTCCATTAGGATGCTAATGACTTCAGGAACCAAAAGGAAATATTTGAGCTTCAACTGACAAGGCTTGCATGGCAGAAGGGGATTTGGTTTAGCTGCAGCAAATAAGGAGAAGCAGGAGTGTGCAGAGAGTGCCTGCAGAGTGCCTTGGGAAGCTCTGCTGTAAGGAGGTCAGCAGAAGGGGGCCAGTCCTCGCCACCAAAACCACCACGGGTGGGCGGGCAGCTGTCAGACTCCTGTCATGCTGCTTGGAACTACTGGTTGTGTTGCCCTCGTGCTGTGTTGATATTCCCTGTGAGTGGAGCTGTATGGTGCCAGACTGCAGTGGTGGAGCGTTGGTGCACAGAGAGTTTGATATTTACCAGGACAAGAGCTTTCCCCTCTTGACGGTTTCACATGCTTCTTACCTTCTGGAGGGAGGTGCACAGTCAGCCAGCACTCCCAACTCTAACTCAGTATTTTAAAAAGGCACCTTTCACAAGCCTGTTGTAGATGTCCTGCCTGAATGTCCCCTGCTTCAGCAGCAGTTCTGCCCTGGGGAGTTATAGCTAAGAACGACAAGACTTCAGCCTTTCCTGCATCCAGGGAACTGCTACTCTCACAGGCACGCTGCCAGAACCCTCTTTTGTAAAAAAACACAACAAAGGGAAACCAACCCGTGCGTTCCAAACTGCGGTAACACCCAGAGAGGCACCTTGGCAAGGCTGTTCATTGGAGAGAGCAGCAGGGGGGTTACGAGCAGTGGTTACCTGTAGTAGCCAGGCATGACGATGTGCACCCCCGCGCTGGGCTGGCAGATGTTTGGCACCTCCTGATCATCCATTTTGCGCACAGAGTCTGTGAAAGGTCCCGTAGCATTGATAACACATTTGGCTCTGACATCAAATTCCTGCCCTGGGAGAGAAAACAGTGTCAATCACCCCCCCACACACTTGTTTCCCTGCTCGCTGGCACTGTTACCCATCCACCAGCTCAACCTTCAGCGAAGGGTGTCGTGCTTCTCTGAACAGAAGAGCTGGGATGGCTTTTAAAAACGAACACAGCTCTCGTGCAATGCCAGGAGGGGGTTTGGAGTGAAATTCCACCCTGTGTGCAGAGGTGGCAGGCTGGGCAGGGAGAGGTTCGGCCGGATCTGCCTCTCCAGGCAGAGAGCCCTCAGTCTGAGCCCTCAGTCTGAGCCCTCAAAGGGATTATCAGTGCCCAGCACGCAGCGCCTCGCAGCACCATCCCTGCCGGGCAGGGGGCCGGGATGTAAAGCTTCCTCTGCCCTGCCAAAACGCCGGGCTTTGAGTGAGAAACCTGACAGGGGCTGCGGGGTGATTGGCACTAATGGGATGATGCTCCTTTGCCGGTTCATTGCTGCTCACCAGCAGCAGCAGCAGCAGCAGCAGCAGCAGCAGCGCTCCTCCCTCCCTCCCTCCCGGGCTTCCCTAGGGAAGGGGCTCAGACGGACAGCCGGACGGACAGCCGGACAGACAGCCGGAGGGGCAGCCGGACAGACAGCCGGACAGACAGACACGCACCTGTGAGGAGGTCCCTGCAGCGCACCCCGCACACGCGCTGCCTCCCGCGGGGCTCCCCCGCCCTC